ATTATGGATATCACTGTGCCAGGTATTGGCATTAAGGAGGTAGAGTGTGGAGGTTTTTCCTCTCACTCTTAAGTTTCTAGTAACTTTTAAATATGTTTTATACTTTAATGGAAAAGGAGAAAATGAAACATTTTTGGCTTCCCTGACAAGTGGTGACACCTGGTCATTTTAGACAAAGGTGAGCTGCAGGCTCCATTTGAAAGATGCAGCTCGACCAGTCATTGCCAACCACAGTCAATGCTGACAGATTATGTTAGAAGGAGGCTCCTTTCAAACTCTAACCTCCGTTCCGTGTTCTGTGTGCGGAGGCAACCTGGAAGCACTCCTAGCAGGCAAAGAGAAGAGAAGCTGCTGTCCCTCTTTGCTTAAGCTGGCCAATCCTATGACATCAGCTTTTTCGTAATGATCTCTGGTCGTTCCCCTCGAATGACCAGAGGGACCTATTTTTTCAGCACAGCCTCTTATTTAAGTTAAAATTCATAACACAGAAGGGAAATTAGAGCACAAGAGTTCAAGTGGCTCCCCTTCTGACTTTTGTGTTGCTAATTAGTTTCTGTTCAGCATTACATTCCATCTTCTGTTTTACTTTGAAACTACATAATGTAAATACATTTTTACATATCCAGGAGCAAATGTATAGTTTCAGTATCTGCCCTGAGCATGTGACCAGTGCTTAGATGCCTATTTTATGCCCCACTATACTGCATTTTATTCCTACAACTCTAAAACCAAATCTACTTAAAGGCAGCCCAATTAAAAAACAAAATCTTAAAAGTAACAGGGATTTTCTGTTCAAATATCTGTTCCATCACAGTTGTAAGAATGTTTACCACCATCCACTGAGCCTCGCTCTATCTGGGTGCTACGTGAGACTCCTGGGGGCAGATCTGGGGGCCTTCAGAAATAGTGTCTTGTCCAGGTCCTGCTGCTAAAACACAGTGAAGCTAAAAGTTCACCCTCAGCCTGAGTCCAGAGCTTACACTTTCCCCCTTTGCATCCCAGGCCCTTGTCATACTTTAGTTTCCAAACAAAATTTAACAATCCAAGCAAAATAATTCGGACTGATTAGAATATTAGATTTTGCATTTCCCTTTCAATCATACTGATACACAATTTTTTCACGGCTAACAATTTTACAAAGACACTTTGCGCCTATGGCTTCCCCCTCTGATGAAAACTGATATTCTTTAAATTTTCAAGGATAACCCGCCCAGCTCAGATTCCCTCTGGCATCCCGGGACAGATGCCTTGGGAGGCTGCAGCTAAGGAGCCTCCTCTTCCCCCCTTACCTGAGGTGAGCCTGGAGGTGTCTAAGGCTGAGAACGTGTTTGATAACAGACTTTCCTTATTCTGTTTTTATCCTGTTCAATCGGTGTTGAAATGCCAGTGGTTCCTTCTTAGCTACTTCCTCTGGTGGAAATTTACCATGTAGCCTGTATGACCCCTGTTTATTGGTAGATTTGTTCCCAGCAAGAGGTCAACTAACTTACTACAGCTTAATATATAGGTTTTGGACCAGATGAAACTACACCAGTGTGAATCCTGCTTACTAGCTGTTATTCTGTTGTAAAAAAAAAAAAAAAAAAAAACTTCCCCAAGTCCTGCTAATGTTACCTCCTCTATGGTTCTCAAGCCAATTCCTTCTCAGCATCCTTTTTGCCTCTGGCCAGCTCACACCCGCCCACATACGCTCCTACCTGAGTGGCTGTGGCAGCAGATCTCCCTGCCTCCTCGCCCTGGGAATCTAGAGGGAACACCCAAAAGCACAGGTTGACCATTTACTTTCCTGCCGAGCTTTACAGCCCCCAGCAGCTCCCTCAGCTGGTGAGTCTGGCATTCCCCACCTGCCCACTGCATGTGGCTTTATCTGCTCGGATCTCCCCAGACACCTGCTGCCTCTTGCCCCTGTACGTTTGTCCTGACTCTGTTGCATTCTTCTCCACCCCTACCTTTACCCAGCTGACTTCCCATCCTCCTTTAAGACTGCTCCAATGTCAGCTCCTCCAAGAAACTGTCCCTGACGGGGCTGTCCACCTCCACCTGGGGTCTCCACAGCAGCAACGTGCACTTAGTTAGCATCCTCATGGCACTCACAGTTCTTGACTCTATTCATTCCTCCGGCCCTTGCACAAAACTCTGCTGCTGGCGGGGCCTGAACTGAGGAAAACTGCCATTCTGGCCACCAGGCTAAACAGATCCCTGGAATGAGAGAAGAGTCCTCACAGCAAAAATTCTGTTGGATTGTGTTGGCCCCATGTCCCATGGCTCCTGTAGGGGTGGAAGCTGTGGTGGCTGTTTTTAACCTGAGCTTATGCACTAGAGCTATCCCTCGAAATTTCCCCCACAGAGGAAGAAAGGGCTGTGTGCTGTCGCCATCTCACCACACCTTATCCCAGTTATTAACATCTATGGCTCTGTAATAATCACAAAAGGGCTGATTCGCTAAAATGAAAATCCAAGTACTCCAGATAAGATTCTCAGTGTTCTCATCTCTCTGACATGAATGCTCTCCCTGGAAAGGACAAATAAATCAGAGGTTTCAGAGAGATGGTGAGTGGCAAACTTTTCATCATTCCTCTCAGCTTCACTCTTCTTTGCGGCTCTAGAGTGAACACCAGAGACAGGCAAGGAAATAGGCGCAGCAAAATACAGATGTTAGTGTGTTTGTGTCCACCTGACCCAAATATGCAGCCTTCCAGGAGACTTGACTTGGGATGTTCTCTTGTTTGTTTTTCATGTGACTGTGGTGCAGATGAGCTGCAGGCCACCGCTCTATAAGCCCACAGTATGTCCCACAGGCAGTGTGATCCTAGGAGGACAGTGTCAGGGTATCCAGAGGCTCCCAGACCAGTGCAGACTGCATATCACATATGCCACATATAGACTTGGCTCTACCTAAAGAGTACAGAAAAGGTTTTTAATAACACCTCAGTTTGGGCAAAACATGATCTAGCATCTTGAGGTTTGGTGTGGTTTTTGTCAGTGACAAGTGGGAGCAGGTGGTGTAGACAGTTTATGAGATCCCTTATCAGAGCAGTCAGTGAACCCTGAAGCTGCAGGTCTACGGGCCTCCCTCAGACCTTCTGGTCCTTTCTAGCCCCAGGCCCCGGTGTCTGTGTCTGTTATGGCCAGGTGTCAGTAAGGCCTCCTGGAGGGCGGGTCTCTTTGTCCTTCCCAGCCCTGTGACCTTCATGGATGTCTGCTTGGTCACAGCATGGCCAACACATAGCTGCATTGTTCTTTGACACAGTGATATCACCAGCAAGACTCTACTCTTCCAAAATGGGTCCTGTGAAAATCAAGGAACACACGCATACATACAGATATATCTGTTTATGTGAGATTCCCTTTCTTATCAGAAGCAGATAATTTACATATTAACAGAATGATTAGCTTCTGGCTAAGAATTCTAACATTTTAGTACCACTATTTAAAATCAGGTTAAATTTGTCAAGTGACTGAAAGTGAGGTTTTTCAGAAACTATTAGCTAATTTTTTCAATATACAATTTATAGTCACAATTAGTATATCATAATGATGTTTCTAGGATAAAATACTAGCAGCTCAACTTTTCTGGCCACAGATGTACGACATATATCAGTTTATTTTTGGAGATCTGAAGAATTAGCTACTGTAAATAAAGTCCCCAAGAAGATCTCTCCGGGAAAGAGGTGAACTTACAGTAATATGGGTGACATATTATTAATTAATAACTATGACCAGTGCTGCCTCAATTAAAAGGAAAATGGATGAGAAGTCCTGTTAGAAAGGATATGCTTAATCTCACCAGCACTGAGATCTATAGAGCAGACTAAGGAAGGTTGTTTCTGAGGGTGTCACCAGCGACTCCTGAGTCTGGGAACTTAGTACTGAGTGTTGTATACACGTCTCTTGGAAGCATTGCTCATTTGGTTGCCAGTAAGGCAAACCCACTTCGAAATAGCTTGCAGAGAAAGAAGACTTTCTTGGAGGGCCGTAGGGTCTCCCATAACTCAAGGACATCATGTGCTGTTGGGCCAGGGAGGGTTTCATTTGGGACTGAGAGTGGCATCCATGTCTGTTTAGAGGAGGGAATCTGATTGGTGTGTCTGGCCCAAAAGACAGGCCATGGTACCTGTCTGCAGGTGTCACAATATAGTAAGCAGGTTTCTTTGACAGACCACAGATGGTATGGGAGCTGCATGAGAAAGGTGCCTAGAAGTTTAGCTGTGAAGACTTGCCCAAGGAGGTGAGCTGAGTCACCCAAGATCGGCATTTTCCAGACAGATCAGTGAGAGAGGAACTGCCAGGCCTGCGCTGGGGGGAGTGTGACATGCTGTGGGCTGGCCTGTGCATGGGTAATGACAAGGTTATTCTGAAGATGGTGGGAAAGGGGCATGAAAAAATTTGATCCTGGGAGAGATTTGTGCATTCAGAGGATCTCACCCCCCTGAGGTCAGACAACTCTGTGAGGTGCCATCCTTCTAGGGTAGAAATGACTGGAGGCCAGGAGGAGCTTCCACACAGGGGCACAAGACCAGGATTCCCCTATCTCCACAGTAGCCAGGGTTATGGAGAAGCCTCGTGATAGCATTACCAGCAGCCTTTGTCCTTCCTGTTGCTCATTTATTTGGCTTCAAACACAGTTATTTTTAGAGTAACTAAAATATGAAGTTAACTGGCCTTCTACCTTAAAAATGCCACTTTTTCCCTGTACCCGTTGTATAGAAGTAGTTCTGTAAAGCCTTCCTTAATGGGGCATTGCCCTGAACGCAGAGAGGAATGAGACCTAACTAGCCATTTGATTTTTTTTTTCTTTTTTCTTTTTCTTTTTTTCTTACTCTCCATTTTCTCTTCAGCCTGTGATGAGAAAAATGAACTGCTCCTAGGAACAGTCAGCCTCACCATCTCCACTTGTTCTCACTTGAACTGGAACAAGGGGAGAGTATGTGGGGGCTCCTCCAAGGGGAACTCACCAGAACCCCCTCAACACTGCCTTTTCTTTCTTTGTCTCTTTCCAGGTCACGCAATATTTAAACTCACGTATCTAAGCAATCACGACTACAAACACCTCTACTTTGAATCTGACGCTGCTACTGTCAATGAAATTGTGCTCAAGGTGAGTATTCCTCCGTCCAGGCACTGGGTGAGCAGGGCTGGCTTCTGTGCAGCCAGTTCTCAGGCCAGCAGCAGCCCCCTCCCCACGACACTACACAAGGCTCCTGGGCCTGGTTTCAGAGGAGGAGATACCTCTGGTCACCCAGGTGGGGAGCAGCCACACCACACTCTCAGGACCACACCACAGGTCAGCCACCCTCTTCCCCCTTCAGCCAAACCAGGCCCCCCTAGCTTCCTCCCCGCCCCAATCCTGTTCTTCGTTTATTTGTCCTTTTCAAGCACCACGTATTTCCTCCTGTCCATTATCAGAAGCTCCTTGAGGCTCCTGGAACAGACTCAGAGGAAATTGTTATTGGGTAAATACTTAATGTATTTGAGGTAATTTTAGCAACCTGTTCTAAACATACTCATCTTTATGCTACAATCGTGTGTTCCCATATCTCAGCGTGCTCCCTGAGCGCCTTCTGTGCACCAGGCTAGTCCTTGGGATGCTGCAGTGACAGACCTGCCGCCAGAAAGCTCTTCCTCTGTCAGAGGCAGACATTAAACATTAAATTACAAAAAGATTGTTAAACAGTCACAGAGGTGCCACAGGGACCGGGGCCAGGGGGTTGGGAGGGGTAGGTATACGGGGGGGGCGGGCAGGCGCCGGGCGAGCAGAACCCTGAAGAATGGATGATAAAGCACAGACTTGGCCAGATGAGAGAGAACAAGCATCTCAGACAGGGAGCTGCCTGTGAAGGGACAGAGAGGCCGGGCAAGCACAAGAGGCTGGGGGCTGCCCCCAGGCCTGTGTGGCTGGAGCAGAGAACCGGGTCACACAGAACCTTGCAAAGTGGGGACAGGCTGAGGAAAAAGCTCCCCTGGGGCCTTGCTGGTTTGGGACATGTGAGTTAGGGCCCAAGACTGTGCATCTCTAAGAAGTTCCCAGCTGCTGCCTAGGCTGTTGGTTTGTGCACCACACTCTGAGTTGCCCTGGACTGGAGGTTTTCAGAGTCTTCCAAACTGAGAATCCTTTTTTTCAAGCCGAATCTTACATAGATAAAACAGATAGAACAGAACTGCTTGTTTTGGCAGAGCAAGACTTACAGGCAGAGGGGGCTCCCCCACCCGTTGCTGTGTGACTCTGGCCAGTCACACCACCTCTCAGGACCTCAGTGTCTCTGCCTATAAAATGGAGATCGTAGCAGGTACAACGCCCCACCCCAGCAAAGGGCTGTTAGAACACAGATCAAATGAGGTAGGGCAGACCTACCTAGGTTAGTATTCTCCTCTTGAGAGTGAAAGCCATCAAGTAATAATAATGGAAGTAGCTAAGCTAGGGTGCCTGGGTGGCTCAGTTGGTTAAACATCCAACTCTTTTTTTTTTTTTTAAGATTTTATTCATTTATTTGAGAGAGAGTGCGAGAGACACCACAACCAGGGGGAGGGACAGAGAGAGAGGGAGAAGCACACTCCCCTCTGAGCAAGGCTCCATGTAGAGCTTGATCCCAAGGACCCTGGGATCATGATCTGAGCCAAAGGCAGATGTTTAACCAACTGAGCCACCCAGGTGCCCAAGTGTCCAACTCTTGATTTCAGCTCGTGTCATAGTCTCAGGGTCCTGGAATCAAGCCCCACACTGAGGTCTGTGCTCAGCATGGAGTCTCTTTCTGACCCTCCCCCTGCTTGTGCTCTCTCTTTAGCTTTCTCTAAAATAAGTGAAAATTTTAAAAAGTAAGCAGTACTGAGTGATTGCAGAGGACAGGACCTGAGCTAAGCACCTGCTACCCTCTTTCACGGAACCTTCATGGTTCTCCAAGGCAGTAATGTAACATCATTCCCATTTCGTAGATGAAAACTGAGGCTCAGAAATAAAGAAACTTTAGCCAGGACCATGACTGGCAGAACTAGACCTAACCCCAGGTTTGGCAGCTTCCAAAAATTTTGCTCCTAACCCCCTGGATGTGTGTGCTTTTGAGGAGTTGAATGAGAGGTTTCAACAAAGTGGCATTGTTTTGCAGAGACATTTTGAGGCCAGTCCTCATGGCTGCAAAAGATTTCCAAACGTAGTAGATGAAAATGAAAAAGATAAAGCTTCTGGAGGGGACAGTTAGGACCCAGAGCCCCCCTCAGACCAGGTGGTGGGTCATGGGGCAGCCTGAAGCCAGCAAGCTAAGAGTTACTTGCCAGATTGTCACCTGACAGCACGGGGAACTTGTTCAGTGCTCGGGGACCAGGTAAAGAAATATTCCATTACCCCATCAGGGGCTGGCCTTTTTTTTATAGCCAGCATTAAAATATACAAGACTTGAGGATTCTAGTAAAATTATAATCCTGTGTTTGACATCAAAATAATTTTCACAACAGCAGATTGATGACAGAAACACGGGTTTATGACTTCAGTATGAGGCTCTGCAAGAGCAAGTACAGAGAAATCATTTTACAGGACCAAATGCTCCCTCGAAGCAGATGCTTTTCTGCAAAATCCCTGAGGCCTATCGCCTCCCCTGAAATGTCTGTTTTCATATGAAAAGGTTTGTAGAAATATTGCATCATGCTGGAGACTCCAGGAGAGTCACAGCATGCCCAGGCCTGATTTACTTAGAGAGCTAATGGTCATGATCCTGATGGAAGATTAAATTTCACTTTTTCTGTCTCTGATTTTTATAGCAATTTAAATACTTAGCCTTCTCTGCCATCCCCACAGTGTCTGTGAGCTTTGCACCAGTACCAAGTGACTGAGGCCCCAGCCCTGTGTCCCAGAATGTGGCAGAAATGTTTCCACCAGAGGCTGTCCCAGGAGTTAGTCTTAGACTCAAGTAATGCATGTGGTGTTTCTAGAATTCAGGAGTTTTACATAAAACAAGAGCTTTAGATGGAAACTGAAAAGGCTAAGGGCCAGAAGCCAATGTCCAAGAAACTGTGATGAACAGGCAGGCAACTCTCCATTGAAAGATTTTATCTCATTCCCTCATGTAGAAATATTAATATCTCACATTTATTGAGCAACTGCATATGAGACATCTTACATAACTGTTCAGTCTTCAGTGTTGCCCTGCAGAGTGTAGACATTAATGTCCCCATTCTGTAGATGAGGAGACAGAGGCCCAGGCCTGCAGTGTGTAAGGGTGGAGCCTCAGCTCGAACCCCAGCCCCAAAGAGTCCCTTCCACCCCGAGCCATTGTCAAGCTAAGCCATGTGTGGTCCCTAATTCTGCAGGCTTCAAGATGAATCTCAGAGGAATCATTGGTCTCTTCAAATTGGGTTCTTGTGATCGAGTGATGGAGGCTGTGGCTTTATTGACCATGAAAACTCCCTATATTTTTATGCCTTAAGCTGTAAAATGCATTGAAAGTGAAACACTCTATAGTGCATAAAATTGTGCAAGTTTTAAGCCACAGCATATTAACCAGCTAATGGCAGACCAAAGGGCGTTTTTATCTTTTGATTATTACATTAATCTTCCATTAAAATTATCTATGTGATTATCACAAAGCACTGAAGATAATAAATTTGGGAGATAGTTGGCTAGTTAAGGATCAATTTTAAATGCTTTCGTCAAGTTGTATGTGCCAAAAATACACTGAGAACACGAAGTTGACTGAGTGTGCAAACAATATAATCCAAAGATTGCTCTTATTAAGAATGGTAAACCCTCTTATTTCCATACATTGTCTGTAGTGTCCCAAATCATCAGCTCGGCCCCTCGGTCCTCATGATTTATTGCTTTCAGCTGGTAACTCAGCAAGGCGGTGGGCCAAGCACGTCAGGCCTTCTGTACTCACACACCAGCCTTTAACGCCTGCTGCTGGTGACTATCAGAGCAGAAAGTTTGGAGGGGACAGTGTTGGAGCCCCAGCCCACGTGAGGCATCCCACACTGTCTCCCCTGTGCTCCCGTGGCTGCTTTCTCAGTCATTCTCCTACTCAGGGCGTGGGACACATGGCCCTCAGGGGAGAATCAGCAGAGGTGGTGGCAGGGCTCTGTAGTCAAAAATATTCAGGTTTCTGATCATTACTTAGAGATATTTGAGAGTGAAAAGGTGTTTGTTCACAAAAAGCTCCAGCCAGAGGCAGGCAGAGGCAGTAGAAGGAATGTATTGAGGTGGGAGCACCTCAGGGAGGCTAGAGGCCTGGGGAGCTACAGGTGTGGGAATCAAGGGTGATCCTGGCTCTGTGGCCTTGAGTAAACAACATTACCACTCTGTGCCTTGATTTTCTCATCTGCACAATGGGATGGTAGTGGCATCTGTCTCATAAGGCTCTTGTGAAGGTTACAGAGTTAGTCCTTGAAGAGTACTCCAGGAGCACTGCTGCCACCATGCTGCCCAGCCAGGGGTTCATCCTCTGCACTGGGGCCCAGGTCCGATCCCAGCACCACTGCCCTCCCCCCGGTTCTTCCCACCCCACCGGGACTGGGCAATAAGCAGTTAGGTTCCCCCAGCCTCCCCTTGCTGCCTTCCACTGCTGCCCTATGATGCTCGCCCATTCTCCCCTGCCCCAGACCCCTACTGATCTCTCAAAACCCAGCTCAGTCATTTCTCTGCGAGATCTCCCTGCCCCACACTCCCCGATAGTTACCCCATTCTTTCGTGCTCCTTCTGTCTCTGGTGTCACACTTGTCATGCTGTTAGATACTCACTAGGCAGTGAGCTCTTTGGAGCAAGGACCAAGTCTTCTGTTTCCGTCTGTCTCTCAAACCAAGCATGGAGCCAGGCTCAGACGTGGCAGGTGCTCGGTGCCAGGGGTGCTACAGAGAGTGACTGCGCAGCTGCTACCCAGGGGCAGCCTGGCCGTGCACTCTTCACACAGGATTTTCACAGCCCCTCTCCCTACCTGGCCCCTGACCCCTGGGTGATCCTGTTCAGATCAGCCCTCTTCCCTGAGCCTTGCTGCTTTTTATCATGTGAGCCCTGGCTGGCAGGATGCTCGTGGGCAGTAAGTCAAATCCCGTTGCTGGAAGCTCTGTACCCACCAGGGGAGGCTGAATATAGAGCCTTGGTTCAGTTGGTTTTTCATCCCTGCAATGTTCTCATCTTTCAGACCAGGAAAGGGGGGCACAGGGTAGTTATGTGCAGGCCCATGGTGAGGAGCAGAACCAAAAAGCCTAGCACACAGCCTTCTGGGAGGCAGTACATGCTGAGAAGGAGACATGGCCCATGGAATCAGACCACCAAAAGGCCCCCAGCAGCCACACATCCTCTCCCACATCATCCTCCATTCTCCTGTCGTAAAGTGGGCTCCGTCCCAACCTGCCCGGTTGCTGTGGTGACTCCACACACGAGAGAGCACCTGGTGGCCCTGGGGCTCCCAGCCTGGGTCAGGGCCCTTCTCTTCTTTGCCCCAAGTGAACGGAAAGTGGCTGCTGAGCGACTGGGCTGTGTCCTCTTGCTTTCTAGGTTAACTACATCCTGGAATCACGAGCAAGCACTGCCCGGGCTGACTATTTTGCTCAAAAACAAAGAAAACTGAACAGACGTACAAGCTTCAGCTTCCAGAAGGAGAAGAAATCAGGGCAGCAATGACACGGGCCTCCAGCCCCAATCTGTCGCCATAGCTCAGTGCCTGCCTGCCTGCCAGGGCCAGGTGGCCCTGGAGCCCACCTGATGTCCTGCATCCTCGGGGGCAGGCTGGCCCCTGGCGCATGGGCACAAGGCTCGGGGGCTCTTGGGGAATGCAGCTAGGGATGCCTCCACGGGACTGAAGCCTGAGCGGCAGTGGCATTAACAAACAGTGTCAGGGGGCCCGATGACACACGACACAGACGACAGCCCAGCCATCTTCACTGCCCGACGGCCCTGCCTGAGGATGTACATAGCCATGCCCATTTCCTTGCAACTTGATCAAATTTCTTAACAAAAAAATGTACATTTCTTTTTTTTTCCTTTTAATAAACAGGTGTACTCTTTATCATGGTTGGTATGACAGGCCATTCTTTGGGGCAGAGGATTGGTCACGTCATTTTCCTTAAAACCTGTTCCCATGTTGAACAGGCAGATTGGAAAAGCTATGGCTCCATTTCTCAGAAGAAATGTTTAGGGCTTAGTCAATAGTTTTAACGATGCCATTTGTTTAAATGAGTGCATTGCTTTGAGAATTGTATCGTACTAAAATTAGGATGGAGGGGCCTGGTGATGTGTGTCCCGGGCCTGCCCTTCAGAAGCCACCTCTCCTCAGCTCGTCCCTGAACCTCTTGGTTTTAGGGACACGGGACTGCGGGTCAGGCATGGGCTCTGCGAGAGTGGGGTGACAGCTGGTTTTCAGATCACGCTGAGCTCCTAGCCACAAGTAGTCTTTTCCATTTCTTCAATAGCAAGTGTATGTTTCAGCTAGCAGTTAGACCTGCATGTGGACTTTACCTGGAATTGGAAGAGTCAGTCTCTGCCGACGCATAAGGGCCTCCACTCCCCTTCTTCTCCGTACAGGACCTGCCTCGTGGTCTGAGCAAGTGGGAAGCTGCTCTTTCTCCCTGGGGTGAGTGGAGGGGGCGGGGGGCGTTGGTGAGCAGAGGTGGCTGGGCAGAGGGAAGCCTGCTCGCATGGGGTCCTGACTGCTGGCGGGGCGGGGGGGGGGGGGCAGGCAAGGGGTCAAGCACCCGCTGAACGCCACACCTCTGGCCACACCAGATGCCTCTGCGGTCCTCACCCGCCTCTCCAGGGTCCCTCCCAGGGTGACATCCTTTCACACTCCCCGGCCAGGGTTGAGGACCAGATGTTTCACCGAGGACCTGCATTTCAAACAATTTTTTAAAATTGTTATACAGGAAGAGATGTGCCGAAAACAGCATCTCAAAGTTGAGTGTGTTTCTTTGCACTGGGGGCATTTTAATGAATTCTTCTTTCATTCTGATCTTTGTTTAGCCAACAGAAGCATCCTTTTCTAACGTCTTCCATTCTGACCCACCCCAGAAACAAAAGAAATATTATTTGTAGCTTGCTATCTATCTGTATTTGAATTTTTAGCAATTTTATATTTAGATATCTTTGAAAAATGTAAATGACTAATTTGGTCATTAAATCTTGTGACATATTCAATATTAAAATGATATTAAAATAAAAGTCACATAAATACCATCTTTGGCATATTGCTTGGAATTCTTGAAGTCTTTTGAGTACATTATCCTGACTCGAGACTACATGGATTGCTCTGGGTAGTGGCATTTGCTGGAAGTTGATGTGGTTCCAAAGGTCCTTCAAATGCACCATGGGCCTCCTTAAATTCTGAGCAAGACAGGATGACCCTCTTCACTCAGGGGTGACACTGAAATCTTCACTTCCCTCAAGTACAAAATCAACACCATTCCCCTCTTGTGAAATACAGCACACATGCAGTTTACATAAAGCCTATCTGCCCACCAGAAGGAAGAATTTGAGAGGGAAACACTGTAAAACCACCCAGTTCAAACCAAATATCAAGACTATTTAAATTCAGTTTTTCCCCAGCTCCTCTCTCTCACCTCACCCCTGGATTTGAGGATAAGACCAGAAGCCCCTCAAGGATGGACTGGACCAGCAGGGGCTGAGCATACCCAAGGTAAACCGGGGACCCTTCGGGCCCCCCTTCTGCCCTCGGCAGCATCTCCTGACCTGGCTCTTTGCAGCACCACCCCCCATCCCGATATGGTAACTCTCGACCAGGACTCTCCCCACCCTCCCAGGCCCTGCCCCCATTCGGGCAGCCCGGCCCCTGGGCGGTGGTCCCTGGAGCCCCATGGTCTGAGGGCCTATAGCAGGCCAGGCAGGCTTTGTGCTGGCCCCTTACAAATGAGCCCATGGAACCCCCACTGGCAACTGTCATTACCTCTTGGGCTCAGAAGGGTCTCACCTCTTGCTCTGACACCACAATCTGGCTCTTAACTGCCGGGCTCTGCCCTCCACAGCTAGCAATTTGGTGGCACTTGAGGGCGGGCGCTGCCACCCTGGGGCCTCCATCTCTTCCTCTGTAAATAAAGGTGCTGGAGTAGAGGACCTCTGCAGACCTTTCTAGAAAACGTCTGAAATGGCTCCATCACGGTGAGCCCCACCTTCCTTCCGGTGGTTTCTGCTTCCCAGAACTTGCCAGAGCTTCTCTGCTTCTGAGCAAGAATTCTAAGAAATACTGTGAGGCCATTTAGTCCAGCCTCCTCTCTTGGGGCATCAAATGCAAGGAGGGGAATGCTCCCTTCCAGAGTCCTGGAGCTTCTGCTTGCACACCTCTAGCAATGGGGCACCCACCGCCATTCGGGTCAGTGCCTTTCCTTGCTGGCCCACTCATCACCCGAGGCTGCCTTCACGGATGGTGCGCCAGAACCCACCCAACATGCTTCAGCCTCCATGTGTTAGACCCCCTCTTTCCACCCTGAGTGCCAGCCACCTCCTAATACCTGCGACCTGGGCCCCAGGACTGTGTCCCTCCTGCCCCAGATGCCCCATCAGCTGCTTGGAGGCCACACTGACATTCTTCTGAGTCTTCTCTTCATGGGTTAAGAAGCTGTTGTGTCCCTGAAAACCTGTCAGCTGCTTTTAGGGTTCGTGTTCCCCAGCTCAGGTGGCAAAACATCAGAGGCGGTGGGGGAGGGGGGGTGCGGAAGAGGGCAAAGCTCTGACTTAGCAGTCAGGATGTGCTCACCATGTGGTGAGGCCAAGGAGGTGGGCAGGTGACCCCCAGGCCACCCCAGAGTGAGTGCCAGGGAAGCTCCGTGGGGGACCTGTGGGCGCCTGGAGGCCTGCAGTATGTGATGGAATGGCCAGTGCCAAGTGTCCCACCAGGTGTCCCAGAGCCCCCCGAGGGGGCCACACGGGTGCAGGAATACAGCCAGAAGCCACCGCTGGCCTTCACCAACAGGGCTGAGGGAGGTCTGGCGCATGGCCCTGGCCCCCATCCCGCACCCCCATCTCACTCTCCATGTGAGGTAACAAGCAGAGGGCACAGCGTCCCTCACTGAGGCCAGGCTGTTGGGAAGTGGGGGGGTCGGCTCTCCCACCTGCCTGCCCCCTGCCTCCCCCCACCCCCCACCCAGCTGGCCTCTGTCCCTCTTGGCCCACGAAGGCCAAAGCACCCCAGATCCTGCAGGTGCCACCGAGGCCACCGAGGAGGGCCCTGCCATTGGGAAAGCAGCCCAGGAGGAGGAAAGAGTTAAGCCTGTCATGTTATGTTCCCACCAAACACCTCTGCTTAAATGCAAAGTCCCAACAGGGTGGTGTTTGCTATAAAAGCCCTAAGAGTGATTTGTGAAGTCTCGAAGCCCTGTAATCTCGTCAGCATAATGGGATTATATTTCAAATCACCACAGCCTGTTCATTACCCATTTAAACTCCTCTGACAGAGGAAAACTTACATGAAACGTGCAAGGCAGCCCTTGCTGACTTCCCCGCTCTCCTTCCTGATTAGACAAACAGATGCTGAGGTCTGGAATGAAAAAATAATATGCCCATTTATTCATTTTTCTGACAAGTCACAATAGATTTTTAACTGCCAATGAGTGACCTCCCGGAGGTGCGGTGGCTGGGAGGCGCCCACCAGGCAGCAAGTGGTCATTTCCGCCCACGCCAGGCCCTGCCTGGGCCAGGAGCCCTCCTGGGGCCAGAGCTGGCTGCCACTCTGAGCCATGCTTGCCGCCTGTCCTGGCCAGGCTGCGACGCGCTCAGCCCAGGTGGGGAGAGCTGTCTGCAGGGCCTCTTGGCTGTCACCACCCTCAGAGGGCCAAGGCCTCCTCCAGGACACAGCCAAGGCCTGAAGCCAAAGCCCCAGGTAGGAACTCCACTCTGCCCTCGACTGGGGAGGTTCAGTTTCCCCGTCTGTAAAACGGAGAAAGTGAGAGAGCTCATGGCCTGGCTTGGGCTGGCACTGCCCTCAGCTCCCCCTCTGGGCTGCCTAGGACCACTGTCCCCAGGCTGCGACAAGGAGAGAATAGCCCACCAAGTGCCGGGCCCTCCCTTGATCATGTCCTTTGGTGCAATAGGCCTTTGTGGACAGCCACTTGCTGGGTCACAGGGCCACAGAGCAGGAGTGGGTGGAGGAGCCCCTCTGGCTCTCTGCTCTCTGCTCTGCGACGATTTCAGGAGCAGGTGTGGGCTGGGGGAGAAGCAGCTGGGTCAGGGATCCCAGCCCTGCCTGTCCCTGGGGTATCCCCCTGCCCTCCTAATTCAGAAGCAGGACATTGCTCCTCAGCTAGGCCACCAGCTGGAGGGAGCCCTATGGCAGTGAGTTGCATGTGGCATAAGATAATGTCACAGGCCTGGTGCACAGCTGGGGATGGTTAGCCATGGAGACAAGGGTGCCTAGTCACTCACTGGGAACCCCCTGGCCAGGGCCTTCCCTGCCAGGAGGAGTTCGGGCCTCAGGGGGTGGCCCCAGCCCCCAACGGAAGCACCCTCCAGAACCCCCTCGCGCCACCCCGGCCTGCCTCTGCGTTGGAGCTTCAGGCAGGGCTCCCATCTTTATGCATTCACTCTATGAATACGTAAGAAATACTGTGAGGCTAATTCTTTTTAAAATGATAAAATTCATCTGTATTATAGCATTCCAGCCCCCAGCTTCCTGAAAGCTAAAAATATTTTAATGTCATATTTCCATGTAAATTTTAGTTTAGAATTTAATACCCTTTTAACATACATTAAATTTTTAGCATTCTTCAAGCCCTTGACTCTTTTAAGGATTCAGCTAATGTGCATTGGAGAAAAGGGCTGGCGGAGGCTATAAATTAGGAGAGAAAGTTCTAGAAGCAAGGTTGCCCCCAAGCCTCTTGCACCCATCTACTCTTAGGAGTTACTCCTCTGGGCTGGGGAGCACCTGAATCAAACCCTGGAATCCTGGGGAGGTGTCAGAAGTCTCCCGTTTCCTTGCTGGAAGAGCCAGCAGTGACTGGCTTTACTGGGTACAAAGGGAGTTTACCACGGCAGCCCAGGCCGGGGGAGCCAGGATGGCCTGGG